ATTACAAAGATCGGGAGGACATTGATCAAGTACAACAAACGGAGATTCCGACTTTGCACCTTTCTTAGCCAAACCGTCAGCCACCGCATTGGCTTCTCTGAAAACATGATTAAGATGTAGGTCGGGGATTTGTGTCATCATAGCCCTGCAATCATCAATTAAAACACCCAGTGAGTGAGTAGCAGAATTAGCAGAATCCAGAAGAGTTTTCGCAACTTTAGAATCAGTTTCAACAAGTAAGTGGGAAAATCCCCTATCTACAGCAAGTTTAAGACCCTCTCTTAAAGCCCATAGTTCGGCTGAAAGGCTGGACGTGAATCCTACATTCCGGTAGAATCCCAACAACCAGTTACCAAGCTCATCCCTAAAAACTCCTCCAGCACCCGCCTCCCCTGGGTTTGCATTAGCTGAACCATCAGTATTCAGCTTAATGAAACCAGCTGGAGGCGGGTTCCAGCTAACAAGAACAACAGATAGAGATTTAGTGATAGAAGAAGCTGGATGAAGTTGGTTGTACTCATTAATTTTTTTCAAAATAAAATCTCTAGCCATGGCTATAGAAAATTTTTTCCTTTCATGAACCAGCTGGTTCCGGAAGTACCAGAGGGACCAAATGATGTAGGAAAAGGAAGTGCTCCATTTCCTATAGTCAGAAAGGTTGGAGTGAGTAGAGTGAGCATAAAGCCAACCATCGAAATCAAGATTCTGGTAGCGAGTGTTAATAGTATTAGGAGTAAGGAGATACCACAACAGCTTAGCAAAAAAACAGTCTCTAAAGATATGATTAATAGTTTCAGGAGCCTGGTGACATCTGGGGCAAATATTTGAGTCCACAATGCCCCAATTAAATAGAGTATCATAGGTAAGAAGTCTATCATGCTTCAACAACCAAAGGAAAAACTGTATTCGAGGTAAGGTATCCATCCTCCAAACCCAAGACCAAGAACAATTGCTAAGAAGGGGTAAATTCCTAGCCAAATAATAAGCAGACTTAGACTTAAAAAGACCATTGCCAGAAAAACCCCAAATAAATGTATCAGATCCTACACTAGAGTATTGGAGGGGGATGGCTTTAAGCCTATTGACAATATCAGTAGGGAGTGAATAAGAAATCAAGTCCCAGTTCCACTCCCCGGAAGGTAAAAGCGCATCCCTCACAGAAATATGAGAAGAGTCAATTTTATGTGGCCCATAAATCATAGAACCAAGGGAATCATTGCCAACCCACTTGTCATACCAAAATGAAACTTTATCACCTGTACGAGGAATCCACTTGATACCTCGATCAATAATGTGCTTCCCCTTTTTGATATTTTTAATCACTGGGGAAGTCTTGTCCAAACTGCAATTTGGACTAACAATATTAAACTTGTCACGAAAAGCCTTAGCCCAGACGTTATCTTTTTCAGTAAGCATACGCCAATGAACTTTGGCCATAGCCACTTGGTTAGCCTCCTTAGAGGAACGGATACCCAGCCCACCAAATTTCTTAGGATGTGTGATTTTTTCCCAAGAAACAAGATTTGCTCTTCTTTTTTGAGGGGTGGAGCCCCAAAGAAATTGGCGAGAAAGTCTGTCTAGCTCTTCATGAGTTGCAGCTGGAAAAAACATACCTTGCATGTAGTAATTCGGAATGGATGAGAGGACTGAAGAAATCAGAGTAGTTCTGCCAGCAAGTGACAGCATACTAGCCTTCCAGCCCGAGAGTTTTTTGCGAACCTTGTCCACAATGAAGTTGCAATCAGATTTAGAGATCCTTTTGGGGGTCATAGGAACTCCAAGATATTTGCCCAAATGATCAGTTTTGGAAACAAAAAGAATGGTACAAATATCATTCTTAACAGACTCTGGAGTGTTTACAGAGAAAAGAATTTTGGATTTATCAAGATTGACCTTCTCCCCCGATCGAATACAGAAAAAAAGAAGCACTTCTTTGAGGAAGATAGCATTGGCTTTGCTAGCTTTGCCAATAAAAACCAGATCATCTGCGAAGAATAAATGGGAGAGAATAGGACCCCTCCTTCCCAATTTACTCCCCTTCCAAAGCCCAGAATTAATACCCCCTTGAAGTTTAAGAGATAAATATTCAATACACAAAATAAAAAGGTAGGGGGAAAGAGGATCCCCTTGTCTTAGACCCCTAGAAGGATGAAATTGTTCACCGACCCCGCCATTAACAATGACAGCAAACACAGAAGAAGAAATACAAGACATAATGAGATCAATTAAGGATGGAGGAAAATTAAAGAAAAGAAGGGCCTCTCGAATAAACCCCCACTCAAGTCTATCATAAGCCTTATCCAAATCAAGTTTCACAATCATATCACCCACACGACCCTTTCTTTTAGAAAAAGAATGAACCATCTCCCTTAAGATAAGAACATTATCCATTCCGCTTCTACCCGAGATAAAACTAGCTTGAAAGGGGGAAATAAGATTGCCAATTTTGTTTTTCAGTCTCAGAACGATCAATTTGGTAACAATCTTATACACAACATTACATAGTCCAATAGGTCGAAACTGAGAAACCATTTCCGAATTTGGGATCTTGGGAATGAGAGCAATAAGGCTTTGACTCCAAGTATCAGGCATGACTCCATTACTGAAGGCTAAACGAACTTCGGCACAAAGTTTGGACTTTATAAGATCCCAGAATTTCTGGAAAAAACCAACATGAAGGCCATCTGGACCTGGGGCTTTCCATGACTTCATAGATTTGACAGCCAACCAAATCTCAGCATCTGAGGGAGGAGCTATTAGAAACTCCCATTCAGAGTAGTCAATAATCGGTCCCCTCACAATGTCTTTAAAAGAGTCATGAAAGGAATGATCTAGGGAGGAAGTATATAGATCCTTAAAGTAAGAAAGGACAATGTTGTGAATACCCTCTGGGTCATAGGACCAATTTCCATGAAGGTCCTTAAGTCCCATAATTCTATTATAAGAGCGACGCTTGATGGTAGAGACATGAAAAAATTTAGTGTTTCTATCTCCGTCAAGTATCCATTGCGTACGGGATTTAAGAAACCATAAATCTTCCTCATATTTGAGAAGAAGCTGATATTCCTGAGTGAGCTCTTTCTCTAAGTTCAAGAGAAAATGACTATTCTTGAATTGTAAAGCTTTTTGAGTACCCACTAAGCGAGCCAAAATCTCTTTTTTCTTTTTGTGAATATTATCAAAGTTAGCTCTGCTCCACAACCGAACAGAACTCTTAAACTGTGTAGAACACTCAGAAATAGAGAGGTTAGAGTGTGTCCACTCAGAAGCAACCAAATCTTTAAATGATTCATGATCTAGCCAAAACTTCTCTATGCGGAAAGGTTTGTCCCCAATGGTTGGGATAGAAGGTTGAAGTGAGAGAAGAATAGGACAATGATCAGAAGAAAGCCTAGGGAGGTGAAAGACAGTAGCTTCAGGAAATTTAACCCTCCAAGAGGGATTTCCCCATGCTCTATCCAATCTCTCCCTAATCAGTTGGTTAGCACTTCTTTTATTCACCCAAGTAAACTTAGGACCGTTAAAACCCAAGTCCATAAGGTTACAAAAGGACATACAATCTGTATAAGCTCGAATTCTGTGAGAAGGAACAGGATTTCCTCCAAATTTTTCAGATTGGGCTGTAATGTCGTTGAAATCACCAATAGCCAGCCATGGGCCATTAATGGTTTGAGAGAATTCTCTCAAGTTATCCCAAAGCAGACATCTAATATCAAATTGTGGCCTAGCATAAATAGCAGATAAGAACCAAGTAAAATCAGTAAACCAGGGATGAGAGATTACCTTGACTAAAGCATGAATGACCTGAGGACCTTTGGAAAGAATGTCCACAGAGAAACATGAGTCATTCCACAAAAACCAAATCCCCCCAGCATAGCCATCAGCATCTACTAGCTCCCACTTTGGTAACCCCAAGCTTCGAGCTACTTCCACAGCCTTATCACCAGCAAGTTTGGTTTCCATAATAATGAAGATACCAGGATTATGTTCACGAATGATCTCTTTCGCATTCCTTTTAAAATCATCATTTGCCGCTCCGCGGCAGTTCCATGATAAGACTTTCATTGACCAAGCAATGCTACTGAAGGAATTCATGACCCAACGGCCCAGCTCTTGATTCCAACGAACTGAATCGCTCAATCTGCTCTTGATCAGCATGTTTACTTCTGGAAAGTAAAACGGAAGGGCTGTTTGAATGTAACGAGCTTTCCTGCAGCATGGGGCCTCCTCCCTTCGAACAATCAAATGAACAGCTTTCATACTTCCCAATAGAGACATCTTGTTGAGGAACCAACTGCACTCCGGGATCCACACTATCTGAGGTGAGATTTGTTCCTCCCAAAACTCCCAGCCCAATCTCTCCCCTGTCGAGCTCCATGTCGCTCTCGAGGTGAGACACATGTCTGGGGCTTGTAGTGCACGGGGGGGTGGGAGATGCGGGGTTGGATCGATTCCCGTCTGTACCACAACCGGTCGGATCCAATTCTTGGTTACAGTGTCCCGATCCCAACCTTCTACTGGGGTTGAATCCTTTTCCAGCAGTAGAGACAAAGCTTTCTTCATTGACAAGATGTTGTTTTCGTTGTTGACTAGGTAGATGTCCCACAGCCGGCACAGCTTCACAAAGGATCCTGGATCCATTGCCCAAACTTCCACAGGCGGAGGAAGATGTAGATTGTATACTCTTGACATCTTTTGAGGTAAGAGAAGAACTAAGGGATCTTTTAAACTTATCTTCCTTGCGTGTCCCCTTGAGTTGAGCTGTAGCGGTATTCTTACCCTTTACGCTATCCCGAGGCAATCCATGGGAATCCTGCAACATGATAGGATTAGAGTTAGTATGGGACGGAGAAGTTTCATTTGGACTAATTTGTTTAACACTTGGTTCAAGCCCTTGGCCTTGTACTTGGGCCATCAAACCATTTGTAACAATTGAGCCGTTAATATTAACGTTAGGTCCATTTAATGCTTTGTCCCTTGAAGGGTTAGTTGTCTCATCACACTGTTTTGACCCGCCTCTTGACTCAGTGAGTTGGCTGCTTGGGTTCCCTCCATGGAAGGAATTTGGATTGCTTTGTTGATTCGTTGAATTATCAACCTTCCCATTAGATTTCCTCCTATTTCTCCTTCTTTCAACGAGCATCCATGGGCCAAAACCCTGATGTTCCTCAATCACAGGACTATCTCCAGTATTGATGTCAGGAGACTTAATAGAATTGGGGGAGTCCTCCTCCATGGCTGCAGGAGCTTGTGATAATTTGAGTGGACAAGCATTCTCTTTGTGACCAACGCACCCACAAGAGAAACAAAGTGCAACTGGACCCTCATATAGTACTTTCTGAATATGCTTACCAATCCTGACAAATGGAACAAGAGGTTCATCAAGATCCACCTGTACACAGATTCTAGCAAATTGCCCTCTTGTTTGGTAAGCCGTGTGAGCGTCCAATCGCAGAGGCGTCCCCAACAATTTACCAATTCTCTCAAGAATTTTAACATCATAATACTCGATTGGTAATCTGGGCAACCTAGCCCAGATGGCTGTGGTAGTAAACGCCGCTTTCTCAGGATCGAAAGACGGTTCCCACTGTCGGATGGTTAAGTAGTAAGGACCCACGAACCATGGACCACCATTGAGAACTCTCAGAAGGTCTTCTCTTTCCTGAAATTTTATGAGAAAAAAATCGACACCCAAATCAATACAGTCCATCTTTCCCCTCGGCTTCCATTGAGCTTTGATTCTCGGGTATATGAAATTATACCCCGCAGACTTGGTTCCGAAAGCCTTGATGATGATGGAATTGAGCCATGGCGAACGAATCCTTCTCTTCTCCTCTTTTGAAATGAGGATAGTGGGAATTGACCCATCGTCCTCACAATCTGAATCTTCCTCAAGAAGATCAAGATTAACTGAGGTATCACAGCAAATATCAATTGACTCATTGCGCAGAACCAGATCTTTGTACGACAGCGGTTGTGGAAGGTTTTCAATCAATTGGTAATCGTCCGAAATTGGTGGATGATCAGAGCCTTTGATACGCTTGATTGATCTACTCAGGAGATCGCCCTCCTGAGTCGATGAATGAGGATTGTGGGAAACGGACATGGGTAGAGAGAGGTCAGAGCGTTTTGTTGGAGAGTTCTATGCTAAGACTAGAACTTTAAGAGAAGTAAAATTACAATCCTTTTTAATGTCTTAACAATATATAAAATATATTTTAGATATTTAATATTTCTTTTAATTAATATTTTATATATTTTTAAAATTAAAAAAAAAACATAAAAAAATAAAAATGTAAAGCAAGAAAAATGTTGTCTTAAAGTTTATTTGTCTTTTCGCCACACTGCTAGTGTCAGCTAATTGGGTAGATCTTTCTACACTTGATACTGTAATTTTTTATTTGTTGAGAATCTGGAAAACCCTTTTGGTAGCCCCTGAATTTTCGTCAAATTCTCAATATAGCTCTTATATTCTTTTACATTATGCCGATCTAAATTACTACATTTTGTAGGACTCACCTCCTCGAGCATCAAGATTGATACTTTGATTGGCTCACTAACTAATCAATCTTAGTTTATTATTAGAAAAAACTTTTACACTAATTTTTAATTTAATGGGTTATTTTAAAAGTTTAAATGCTGCATTAATTATTAAAATTTTGAATTAAATAAATAATTAAGAATTTATATAACATTTATATCAGTATAAATTGATACTAATATACATAGGTTTTAACTCATAATTTGATAATTGGGAATATATGGACAATTCAAGATATTGAAGGGCTAAGCCAGATCATCTTTAAAAAAGAAAAAACTAATGGGGCTAATTGAGATGTGATAACAAGTTTGAGGGCTCAGATTGGTTTACCCCTCTTGACTCCATTTAAATATTTTCTTCTTTAGGGTTACTTCAATAATTAAGAACACCCCAAAATGATTAATGACACTAAAACACATTTGCAATTGCATGGACTCTTTTGGAAGAAGTTGGAACTTGGAAATTATCGCTACATTAACAGGAGTAACACTTCAAGATAAGAAAATGCGATTTTGCGAATAACACCCATTTTGATATTAAGAAGTGTACTCTTTATTAATGATTATAAGATGTAAAATATAGCCTATAAATCACTTTTATGTTAAGTTAATAGTCTAAGGAAACAAGGAAAAAAAAAAAACCAAATGTGGAAAAGAATCGAGATTAGTACGGGAAGCAGATTTTCACTAAATTCTTTTTTGTGAAAAAAAAAAAGTGAAGAAGACCAAACAAGGGAGAGAGAAGAAAGTGTTCACCACTAACCCAAATTAGCACACTCTGTTCCAGTGTTCCTACATCCTCCGTCAACAAAATCAGAAAATAAATAAGTAGAATACAACCTCATGGCACAGGGCAGGAGTGAGTCAAGATCCCTTCAGACCTCTAACAAGGATACATTCGATTATCATATCTAAAGAAGGCCTTTGATTGACCCCTTCTAAACTCACTACATTACCCTGAAAAACCAGAAGGTGACAAGATTAGTAATTCTGCCATAGCTGTTGGGGCTGCTTTGATGGTTGGACCTGGGAGCCACTAAGGGAAACATCCCTAGGGTTTTGCTGCTGGTGATCCAATGATATTCCTGTTTGTGAATGGTAGAAATTTGGATATCCAAGACCTCCAAAATGCTGTGAGGGCTGCTGACCTTGCCGAAATCCAGCTGGCTGCTGGTTCTGCCCCTGGAAGCTGTAATATGTGCTTCCTGGGACAGCAGACATTGTTCTTGAGCCGGGTCCATGAACCCACATAGCCGAGTTCTCATTCTGATAGCAGAAGCAGATATTACTTTTAATGGCACTGTAGATTCATATACAGCAGGCAAATAATAAAGAATAGAGTTAAGAAAAACCAAAAAGAACATTGCAGGCGTTTAGATTTTTGAAAAATCTAGAATGAAACCATAAGCTTCAAGAGATGGCAACAGAATAAATTCCATTGTTACATGCGATGGTGTTTTCAAAAGAAGGGCAAATTATGCAGTTTGCAAGAGGATTACCTGTGCCTGCTGAAGTGACATCAAGTGGTTATTGTCCTTGTATTGAGAACTCAAAACATCATCATAGCCAACAGTTGATCCCGCAGGTGCAGTTGGTGGATTCAGAGGGAAATTTCCTCCAGGAACATTTGTTGAACTCCCAAATCCATAACCAGATGCAATTGCAGATTGAGGCAAGCTGGTTACAGAGACACTATTTTTATACTGGGGAAGCACTGCTCCCAAAGACTGAGGGTACGAGCTATTGCCAGCAAATGCTTGCTGGAAGGCTGATGGCATATATGTATAACTCTGAGTCAAGAATGGATAGCCAATCATGTTTGCAAAATGTCCCAACGGCAGTGTAGGTTGGGAATAGGGGTGCATGGCAAGGTGCTGTGGAACAGCAGATCCTGTGGCACTGCCAGAAGCAGGCAGGGTCTGCTGAGTTGGCTGTGGTGTAGATATTATTCCAGTTCTCAAAGCCTGCATTTTCAAAGAGGAAAAGAACAGTAAATGACTAGTTTCTGTGAAACCAGGTTAACTGGTTTCATTAGGACTCGGTTAGAAACACAAACTCACTTTCCAATAAACATAATAATAACAATAAAGGCCAAAATTATTAAGAGCAGGGTCACACCTCTGGCATGGAAATGTTTGGTCCACTAATGGAAGAAGCAGTGTTGCTGAATTTTGTGGCTGGTGACTGATTTACGGGGAAAGGTGAGTAATGAAGATCAGGCTCCCTCGAAGATTGAACAGTTGGTTCCAGCAAAGTGCTTGGTAATGAATTTGTGTATGCTTGCTGCAATGAGAACCAATAAAATAAGTAAATGTCTTGAAGAAAATTAACATGATATTGTAAGAACATAATTAATCTTTCTTAAACTTTTGCTTCAGCTGTATTAATCTAGTATTTGTTTCATATAAAATAAGATGAGCTTCTCCTGAAATTAAATCCTTGATCAACTTGGACATAGGAGACCGAAGATAGAAATCAAATTCATGTGATTTAAAAGTAAACTTTACTCATTCAAAAGTAAATTGTACCATTTCAACCCTAATACATATGGTTCATGTCATTAGTTCTCAAGTATCAAGTCATCAAATGAAAACAAAACCAGGCAGTTATTCGCGTTACCAAGACATTGGAGAAAGGGCCAAGGTTTTGCATCTGAGAAGTCGTATGTGAGTGAGTGAATGCAGGATTTAACTGCTGTGTGTTTTCATAACCATACACATTTGCAGATGATGGAAATGAATATTGGTTCCCTTCTGCAGCTTCAGGAGTTTCCTGATTCAAAATCTCTGGTCTGGAATCTGAAGAAGTCTCAAAGCTACCAGCACTTGCATTATTTCTATTAGCAACATTTCCCTCAGTGGTATTTCTTAGATGCTCATCCCCATAATACTCAGGATTTCTGCAAGCAAGTAATTTTTACATATAGTTCTGAGCAACCAACAGGTAAAACAAGTGAAACTACAATCAAAAGAAGCCAATACCTATTGTCTAAGTGCCCCATGGATGAGGCATCAGTGACTTCAGGTGTCTCATCCAAGTTATTCTTTGAGGGCCTTGATGTAAATTGCCCAGAAAGAGCAGCATCAATGCCAGATCCAAAACTTCCAAAGCTCAAATGAGAGCAGTCTTCAGTGTGGACTTGCAGGTGATTTGGGATTATTACAGAAGGGTTATCCTCTTCAGGTGGTGCCCCACTACCATCATTCTGTAAATTAAGTTGCTGCAAGTTTGAGGCAATTGATGAAATGCCATCTTCAGCTGAAATAGAATAACCACAAAACAGAAGAATGTAAATCGTCACTAATTCCTTAAGAGAGCAACATGCATACGGACAAGTTAAATATATCATGCAAGAGGATCAATTAAACATCATACCAACCTTCATTATGCTCAAAAGCATGCTTTCGAGGTTGGTAGGAGTTCATATCATCATACAAGTTATTATCAAAAAGAGATGAACCACCAGAGTTATCCTCTTGAATATTTCTACTTGAAGTAGGAGGTCCAACATGGTTTCCATTCTGAGTTTCAACAGAACCATCGTCCACTGCCTCGGCTTCTTCTATCTGAGAGTTCATATGCTGTTTAGTTCTATCCAGAGGCATGTTAGATGCATTTGCATAAAGCTCAGTATCTACAGATGCCTCTAAGATTGCAGACACAGTAGCAGCAGATGGGTTCTCAATTGGAGGCCATTCATCATTTGAAGTAATATCCTGGCTCGTCATGATTTCTGGATCATTGTTCACCTCAGAAAAATTGGAAGCATGATCTTCTGGTGAATGAAAATGAGAATATAACACTGTTGAAGGAGGTGCCACAGGGTGCCAATTATTTCCACTCAGGTGAGGTGGGTTTGGCATGGTGGAAACCTTGTTCTGTGGCCTACCCATCTTCACGATGTCAGCCATTGATACTTGACCTGGGACCCCCAACCATGCACATTGATACCCAGAAGAAGGCTGTGAAGGTGAAGATGAAGAAATCCCGTGACATGGACCAACTGTGGGCATCTTATTTTCAGTGACCAGAGAATCACTGCTAAGAGACAAGCAATGTACATGAGAGATGAGTGACCCACATCACAAGCGTTTAAAGTATTGAGGTATATTAAAGAAAGATAGGAAAAAATTAAGACTTAGATTTTTTTTTTCTTCTAGAAAAAAAATCATTTATAGAAGCTACAATATCACAACTGTATTAAAATAGTCACATCCACAGTACACAACCAAATCTCTGGATATCTAAATTCTAAGTTCCATTGCCAAGGTCACAGAACCATCAAAATCCCATTGTTCATCTGATGCAGTAAAATATTTAAAAACCCTAAATGTATTGACCCAACATCATTATCCACTAATGCAAAAATTATAGGAAATATGTAGTCTAATTTCAGTATCCAGTTCCAGTATAGCATAAATAATTGGAAATATACAGCTTGAGGTTTTCACAGAAAATACCTGTGAGATGGAGGTGGCCGACTTAAGTTATTTCCTGCCACACTAGATGCAGTTGATGAAGTTCCTGAATATGCATGGACACCATTTTCCCTCTTGGATGCAGGTTTAGCATGTGAAGGGGCAGACTCTGATTAGAAGAAAAAAGAATAAGATTATATGTGAAGAAAACATATCTCAACCCAAGTCAATTCAACTAGTTAAATCTTGTACAAAATTGCATATGAGATATTTATACGGTATACCATTAGCACCATATTGTGTTGAGCCCCCACGCCCCACATATCGGTCTGCACCGCCCCTACTGCCACGGTTTGTAGAGTAACTAGTGTTATTCGTACCACGAGATCTGAAATCCCCTGTATCTTTATTCTGCAGCAAAGGAAAATGAGTCAGAAGGGCTGATAAGAAGCAGCATAACTGCCATGAGATGAGACAATTAGAATCCTTTAACAGGCAAAAGAGGAAATTATTAGCATGAAATAAGTAAGTCCATCACCCATTCATCCTTTTATGAAATAATTGAAAGGAATTTCCCACATGATACGACAACTATGCCTTCTAATTTCTTTGTTGGTATGGAATAAGTGGTAAATAACCAAATTATGATTGTTAATGTGAATTTGACATTCAAAGAAGCAGCCAGCCATAAGTTAGCAGAATTTCCAGTAGCACACACCTCTTTTTTCTTTTCCTTCTTGCTCTTCACCTCATGAAAAGGATCTGCACAATTAACAAACATCATATAAGAACACAAACAAGGATCAAAACAAAAAAATCAAATACAAGCCCTGAAACCTCCCCAGCAGTACCCGTATTCAAGACAAGATAATACATTATGGCATGAAATAAGACAAACTTATGTGGACAATAATCAAAATCTAAAGTAGCACAGACAAGTCGTCAAACTAATGAACAAGAAAAATAATATTAACAAACACTGAAATTTACTGATAATTTAGGGAATAGTTACTGCAATGCAGCTTTCAAAGACATTATATTAGCCAAACAAGCAACACTTGAGATTTCACTGAAGAAGACAAATTGAAAAGCAAAGAATTAGTTATCTCCAATTAAAAAACAAGAAGCAGAGGCAATTCTAATGTCAAAATTTAAGAAAAAAAAAGTTCAATTGCTAGAATTTTCAGGGTCGGGTAAAGCAAGAAAGTCTCCTTCAAAACTGTTCCAATCAAATACCATGACACAAGGCCAGAGGAAAGAAAGAGATAGAGAAAGCATCGACAAGACCTTTCATAATCAATCAAAAACTGCGAAAAAAAAGAACAGCAAACCCTAGCAGTTAACACCAAAAAGGAATTAAAAAAACTTTCAGAAACAAGAGAAAAAGAAGAAGAGACCTTGGGCGAGGAGGCGATTGACGGTCTCGTTAGGGTCCATGTTACACTCTTTAAGAGTAGCGTAGATCTCCTGCTCGGAATAGTTGTTCACAATCTCCTTCAAGCTCTGCACCACCTTCTTGCACCCCGCTGGAATCCCAGAGATTCCACTACCGCCCTTACCCAGTCCACTGTTCCCACCTCCGCCCTTCCCACTCATCCTCTCTGGCTGGCTCCCTCGCTCGCCCCGCTCTCCCTCTCAGATCTGAGAAAGAACCGATTCCGACAATCTCCGACAGTCCGCTGCACTTCGCCGTCGCAATAAACAAGAGGAAAGAGGATTTATATCCTTTAACAAAGGAGTTCTCTCTCTGTCTGTAACCCGAAAACCCTCTCCTTTTCTTCCTTCTCTGTGACTGTGAGCGTGCGTGTGCGAATTTTTTTTTATTGTCTTTATTTATTTATTTATTTATTTATTTTGTCGAGAATATCTATTTTTCTCTACTTTTTTGAGAGTATTTCACTATTTCCTTCTCTAATTGGCCTCTCTTTTTTCTTTCTTTTTTTTTTTTCGTTTACTTATTTTTAGTCTAACGGTAAGTTTTTTTTTTTTCAATTTAATGCAGATTAAAATATTAAGAAAATTTCGATTAATTGCAGGATACAAGCATGATTTTAATTTTTAAATAGTACATTAAAGAAAATGTATTGCACATTAATTATACTATCTTAATATTTACTGTAAATAATTTTGACCATCGTAATTTGTATGCAATTATTTATATTTTTTATTTTTAAAAAATTATTTTTCTTTTATTTTTTTATTGTTTTGCTTTATTTTAAGTTGTAAAATAAGATATAAATCTTATGTTATTTTTTCAACTCATCTGATTAACATATTTATAACTCAAATTTAAGATATTTTATATTTATTAAAAGAGATTATTAATGCATTGCATAAGTCATTGATTTTTTTTTTTTTTGATTTTTTTTTTCCTTCACAGTTAGTTAGATGTGTTATTTACTTTAATTACTATTAATGTTTTTAATTTTAAGTTTCTCAAGACTTAAGACAAAATAGTTAATAAGCAATGGAATCTCACATTTTTATAATGGAAAAAATGCATGGCCAAAATAAAATTTGGGAAACATGCATCAGTATGTGTCAAACGTCTATCACTACCATACTAAGTACCAAAATTATCAACGTCATTCTAACATGATTCCTCATTGGGCATACATTCATGTAATGGAAATAACTCAGAAAGATGTAAATTACAACTCATATATAATTAATAAAG